ATGAGAGTCGAGGCTTCAGCTGAGCTCAGTGAAACTCAGGAGGAGCAGATTTGGTTGTTTTTTTCAGAGGTGCCGTGAGGTGAAAGTAGAGTCAAAATCTAAAGGAAATAGACTTTTTGTCTTTGTCCACAGAGGAGCTGGAAAGGGCAACTCAGAGAGTGAGCGATTTGTCTGATACTTGACTGAAGTGTGCGTCGCTCTGAGGACAGAAGTGAGCTGATGACTTAGTCAGGATATGAGCAGGAGCCAGCGGTGCTTAGTATTCCACACACACACACACACAGTTGCTCTGCTGTTGCAAGGGTTTAAAAATAGACCAGACCAGATGTATGGACTGAGGACAGACGTGAATGATGGGATGGATCCAGAATGGTCTGGTGATGTGACGAGAAGAAAGATCGTGGTTTTAAAAAATGGTACAAAAGTAACGACATTCATCCCCAAAGTTCAAGGTTCCAGACTTTTCTCCTTCTCTTTTCAGGGTGAGACGTCATTAATTAATGGAAATAAATATTTAAGGTGGAATTACTGCAAATCAGTAGATGGTAACTGCTGGAAGACAACGATGAAGAAGTGCATGATGGGAAACAGTTGGGCTGAATGAATGTTGACTAAACTTCAGGAGGAAACTGTGAGGCTTTTCTGTATATACATATATACATATATACACACACACTGTAAACACCTGGATGTTTTTCACTGTTTATATAAAAAAAAGACAGCAAAAAAAACACCCAGAATTCTATTGTACATTTAATTAAACTGTAATTCTTTTTTTCTTCTAACAACTGTGGATGATCTTCTTGTCTCTCTGCCACTGAGTAATTGGCAGCCACAGTGTGTGTGTGTGTGTGTGTGTGTGTGTGTGTGTGTGTGTGTTAGCCTCAGGAGGCCTGGAGTCGTTACTATCTTCACAACAATTCTTAAAAACTTCCTAAAATCCTCACACAAACACACACTTTTGTCACAGTGATAGAATGCACTCCCTAATCCTAACCTTAATCCTAATCCTACTGTTATCATAATCTGACTCTCATTCCAATCCCAACTCCAAACTAAGTCTTGAGTCAAGACGTGATGCTGCCTAACCTTAATCCTAATCTGAGTCTAATCCCAACTCCAAACTAAGTCTTGAGTATCAAACAATACTACAGTACTCTCACTCAGTGGAGACTTCACCTAAAAAGTGGTTTTAATCAGATTCATCTTCATCAACACCTTGAAGCTTCTAATTTACATTTTTCAACTCAAACTAAAACGTATGGATGCACCAAATGTACGGTCATCATAACTTCCTGTTTTCGGCCATGTTGTTTTGGTGATAAAAGTCTTTCGACCATAAAATGAAAATGCATTTTAGGTCAATTTTTGGCTGAGGATTTTCATTCTATCAGACCAACAGGAGAAGACGAACATTTTTCACACTCCAACTGTGGAGCTGCATGCTTTGATATTTGGGTCAAAAAAAACACTTTTTTTTTTTTGAAGTAATGTTGAGGTGAGCGCAGCGTTAGAAAAGTAGACCCACCCACATATAAATATGTTACAAACCCCATTCCAGTTTTAGCCGCGCACACTAAGAAGAAAACAATCCGAGTGCGAGGCGACGGCTCAGGAGACAGGAACAACCTATTTTAATAATGCATCCGCAGCACAAAATGAGAGGAGTCGCTTCCAAGGCCTGAATTTAGGAGCGCTCTTAATTTCATTTGTGAGCTGCAGAGGATTGGAGCTGCTGCCAAGTGACCGCGCTGACTAATGAGAAACACTACCTCAGATATTCAGACTACTTTAAAATATCCTTTTCTCTAACCCTAACCCTCAAATCCCGTTGATGTGTACGGTTCACGGCTGATCACATGACGAATAAAAACTGACCAACCATCAGTGACTGCTCTAACACTTTAGGTTTGTCCAGGTGTGTGTGCGCTCACCTTATTGGACTGTAACAGAACGTGAGGTAAAGGCTGTGTAAACACCTCAACCATCTGTGAACAACTGAGATCTACCCGGTTACAGGTGATGGATCGTGTCTAGGACATCAGGTCTCTGTTAAATGCCCCCCACCCCCCTCACCCCCAGGTCCCCGGTGGTGAATGCTGATTGGTTGTCCTCACGGTGCCTTTGTAAAACTCAGTTACTCCAGGAATGATGCTACAACAGCCTCTGTCAGCTGACTGATTCCTGCGATCAATACCAGGATCATTTGAACAAGTGTGATTCATTCTACAGCAGAGGCGTCCAGGTTCAACGGAGAGAAATGGACATGGTGGGCGCTGCCGTTAAATCAAATCATTATTGACTGGTTTTATCCTGATTCACTGCTGTGTGATGTTTGAACCGGCTGATGATGTGGACTGACCCGAGGACAGGCTGAGGTTTTCACCTGGGTCGGCCTGGTTGAACGGACTGGTTTAGTTAAGGCGTCGTTAACATCACGTGAGGGACAGGACTGACAGTTGACCTCCTGGAGTCTGAGTTCTTCTGGGATGAGAACTCAGGACCAAGAGTGTGATCTCATCAACTTTGATTTCTCCAGTTCTCTACGTCCATGTCTCATGCTTCAGTTTTTTGAAACGTTCTTGCAGGAGCGACTGTAACACCAACAGCGTCACCCCGGGGGTCAATGAAGTATTTCTGACTCTGATTAGCAGCAGCAGTCAGGAGGCAGGTGGGCTGCACAGCAGGGCTGAACCTCTGTGTATGATGAGCGGGACTATAACCAGGCTGGTACTGTATGCTGCGTAAAGTCTTTTGTTTTTTTCTTTCTAACCAGTAATACTCTCCAACCTATGAAGGTCACGTCTACAGACGTCTCCCCTCCGAGGTGTCTTCATTTTAGCAGCAGCGGTTCAGGGTGCAGGCTAATTGAGCTAAATAGCTGCATGATTGCTGACAGCCACCGGAGGGCCTTTTATTCTAGGCCACGTCTCCAGTGTCTGAAGGGAAGCTCTGGACTTCACCCTGCAGTACAGTCAAGGTGATTTAAATGGATGTCAACGCTGCTATTTATGTATCCATTTAAACTGGTTGTCTTTTGTGCCAATGAAGAGCTCATTTCCTCTCAATCAAAGCTGCAGCAGGAAATAATTCTGTCTCTGCTGCGTGCGTTCAGTTTCTGAAAAAGATGGGTCAGCAAATCTGGACGGCCATAAACTTCAGATCAGGAGGAGTGGGTGAAGGAGGAGCTCACAGATCAGGAGGTAAACAAGTGCTGTTTGTTCAACACCAAAATCATCCCTGTCATCCCTGTACAAATAAGGTAAGAAACATCTATCATCTCTCTATGCTGCCGTCATCTCTACAAATAAGGTTAGAAACATCTATCATCTCTCTATGCTGCTCCAGCAGCATTAACCACAAGCTTAGATCATTCATATTCAAACATACGATACATTAGTAGCTGCACTCACTAAAAACACAACTCTTTTACTCCTCCTCACTCCTGTGCATCGACACAGACTCTGTCCATCCAGTACAACAACTGCTTTTTAGACAAATCAGCCAACAACAAAAAAAGGAGAAATGTGCTTTTATACAGTCACAGAAAAAAGGGAGAAATCCACTGGTCTGAAGACCAGACAAAAAAAAAACATTATATAAATATACCATCTGTAAAAACCTGCGTGAATTCTGGGAAACGCTGCCACTAATACCACAATCAACATTGACCAAAGATAAATGTTTATTTTCCAGTGAGTGAAACAACAATGCAGTCGATCATGGTCAAATACTGCAGCTGAAACCAGAGACTGAGACAAAAAAACAAAACAAACCCTTTCATGACGACTTTGGTCTGTGTGATTCAGATTAATGCTAATAAGAATGTTTGTCACAAAACAACAAATATTAACATAAAGAGAGAGAGAGCAGACTGAAAAACCTTCTTGGAGCCAACAAGGAAATAAAATCGAAAGAAAAAACTCCAGTTTTAGCCCAAAGTACCAAACTTTAGTCTTAAGATATCGTAGAGGTGAGGTCTTTGGGGAGGTGGTGGGGGGGGGTCTCCTCTGGTCTTACAGTTTGATTCACTACACCTTTTATCAACAGTTGCTGTGTAAAAACCCACATTATTGTAGTAAAACTGGTGTCGTAAAACTTCCTAAATCCTTTCGTCCAAAACACAGGCTCAGCTGGAACTGATCTGTCCTTCTTCATCTTCTTCTTCTTCATCTTCTTCGTCTTCGTGTTTGTCTTCGTCTTCGTCTTCTTCTTCTTCATCTTCTTCTTCTTCGTCTTCTTCTTCTTCGTCTTCTTCGTCTTCTTCTTCTTCTTCTTCTTTCCATCCTTTTCAAGGAGGCAGCAGTCGTTGGACTGAGGCAGGTCCAGACTGGACATCTGTGTCAGTCCATTGAAGGCCCATATAAAACAACCACACACTTACATTTATGACCACACACACATTAGTAACAGGAAGCTGGACACACACACACTCACTCACTCAGACAGATCAGTTAACAGTGGGGATCTAACCATTGTCTTCTTGTTGTAAGGCAGAAACACTCAACACTCTTCCACTGTAGCTCCATCCATTAGTTAATGGCTGGAGCTTCACAGAGACTGAACTTGTCCCCCCTCTGTCATGGTGAACCACCAGACACAGACCGGACCAGCAGCATCATCCTGCTGAGACACGGACCCACAGCCGCCGCTGCCACTGTTCGTCCTGAGACACTCCGTGCATCTTAATGGGATGTTCACAAAGAGCTCATCTCTGACGAAAGCATCCTCCGAAAACCCCATGGTAACAGGCACTGGATCGTGAACGCATCTTAATTCATCCCACCAAAAAAAAAAAAAATTAAAAAATTAAAAAAGAAAAATCAACAGCTGATTAAAATCAGACTGTTTCCCTCAGCTGCAGCAGCGGCAGCCGCTGCACCACAGCAACATGAAGCTAAACAGTTGTCGTGTCAATGTCACGTCCACTCCGCTCCACCACACAATGACAAGGTGACACGAGCCGCGGCGGCGGCGGCGGCGGCGGCGGCGGCACTGACCTGGATGGTGCAGGTGTACTCCGAGTCGTCCAGCAGCCTCACGGTGCAGTTACACTCCCTGTCCAGACTCCTGATGCTGCTGCTCATCAGGCGGCTCAGCATCTTCTCAGACGTCGGTGTCCCGGACCAGGGACAAGGGCGCGCGGCACGTGCACCTAGACGCACATGTACACACACGTACAAGTTGATCTCCTCTTCGGTCACTTCGGTGACGTCCTCAACTCCCGGTCAGACGCGGAGGTGGCGCTGGTTCGTGGCTGCCAGGCATCGTTCCCACAGTGCGCGCGTGAGTGAGTGTGTGCACGAGAAAAAGAGAGGACGAGAGAGGAAAAGACTCAGAGAGAGAGAGAG